TCCCGGCCACCGCAGCATTGACCTACTGGGCTCCGGCGATCCTGCAGCCTCAGCCTTCCAAGTTGCCGGAATTACAGGCATGCACTACAACGCCTGGCTGATTATTTGATTTATTGTAGAGATGAAGACTCGTCAAGTTGCCCAGGCGGGTCACGAACCTGTGGGTTCAGGCAATCCACACACCTCAGCCTCCCAAAGGTGCAGGATTACAGGCCAATCCACCAAGCCTGGCTGTGATGGGAGTTTCTGTCACTCCTGGTTGGTGGGTCGCTGGACTGTAGGTTGACACGGCCTCTTCTGGGACATACTGGCATTGTATTCTTGCAGCTCCACAACCCAACTACTGGGAGCCATGCAAATGTCAGTTTTCCCAGCAATTCCTGTAAGGGGCCCCCTCATAAATTCCTAGCCCCTTCCAGAGCTGGGAAAAATCTCCACATTTTCTTGCCTCATGCAGCCCGTGTCTGATCGCATGTCCTGTCACTCAAGACCAGATGGCCTGGAGTTTATCCAATCAACTGATGCTAGTGTTTGAAATGGCCAATCAGACAGGAGGTGGAAGTTAGGGGGCAGCTTCTGGGCTGTTAGAGGGCCTTAGTTTCCTCCGTCAGCCTCGCGTGTCTTCATTTTAGCCTGTGTTTGCCTGTGACATGCAGGTCTTGGGAGATTCATAGACTGGACGCTGAGACCCTCGGAAGGCGGGAGTGGTGAGTGTGTGGGGAGGTGTCCCGAGAGGGGGAGTGGGGATGGACTGGGATGACCCAGCTCTTTTAGGGACTGGCCTCTCCTTCAGCTCTGAGCCTGGACCTGTCCCCACCGGTGACTCGGCCTGTCCCCTCACTGTAGGTAGACCTGGGCCGTGACCCTGTGGTCTTGACCCTGCAGCGACATGGCCTGCTGAGAACTCTCCATGCAGCTCATCATCTCCAAGTGTGCTGAACCCGCAAGGCTTGTGGACAGGATCCGACCTGTGTGGGGGGTTGGTGGGTGGAAGGGGAGGCTATGATCCTCCCCAGAGTTAAATGGTGGCTCCATCACAACGTTAAGGAGGCTCTTGGCCAACAGCGGTTCTTGAGTCCATAAACACAAGCCAGGACTCATGGTGTGGGGATCACAGAGGGCCTGGGAGGAAAGGCTTTGAGAAGGGGCAAGGGGAAGCCAGGATGGGCAAGTGCTGTTGGGTGACAGTCCTGCAGTGGCCTTATCTGAATTACCTAGGTGGAAATCTCCAGGATGTGTCATTAGTGTCATTGGATATTTGTGTCACCAGGTCCCAATCCGCTTCTGTTGACATAAGGAGTTTGAGCAGGTGTTGTGACTTTATTTAGTAGGGACACTAGAACAAAGGAATTGAGGGGATGGCATCCTAAAGAACCCTCCCGGGTAATATGTGCTTTTTCAAAATTTTTATCCAGGCTGTGGGACAGAGAGTGGCTAAGATCAAGAGGTGGCTTAGACTTGCAGACATCTGGGAGATGAGAGGAGTCCTGGAAAGTGGTGAATTATCTTTGTCCTTGATTCACAGTCTCCTTATTCCTTTATTAAACAAAACAGAGTGAGTGCACATACTTCCACTTTCCCAGAGGTGGTCTGGACAGCTGCATACTGGTGCCAACCTTTCAGCATTTCAAAATTATTTTAGCTACATGGAAACACATAAAGAGATCAGAGATTCCCCCCCCCACCCCGGTCTAAAATGGAGTTATGTCGAATTTTTGAGAGTTGACTGTCCCATTTTGGATTGATTGTGACTAAGTTTTATATTATTAAATTAGTAACTTAAAAATTTTATTTTAGTTTGGCGACTGGTTTCTGTGCACTTGTAGACACATCACTGTTCTTGAGGGGCAAAGGCAAAATTGATGTCTGTTCTCTGGATTATCTTGCATTTGTAAAGAAGAAAAACTATCCTAATGACAAAGTAGACCCACCTCAGGGAGATGGTGGAAGAATCAAATCAAAGAGAACCTCAGACAAACAGGAGAGCAAGCGAGGGGCTCCCAAGAGGGTGGTAAGACTGACAAAAAATAAATACATTCCGCTTAATTTTGAAATACATAAAGGCATATTTTCAAAATGTAGGTGTAACCTGATTTAATAATCTCACCTGAGAAGAAATCCCAGAGAAGTAGAAAGAAAAACAAAAAATGGCTACCTCTCAGGTAAATAAATGCGTCCCAGATCAGAAGGAATGTCATGTTTGTAAAACTTGCAAACCATGCTTCTGTCCTTGTGATGGTCCTGCCTAGTGAGTTTGTTTCAACTAATTTTGTTCTTCCTGTGCTATTCAATGGGTCTGTAGGACACTGCTTCTACATAGCCTCTTCTATTCTCTTCAACTATACTGTTTAGTTGTCATAAACTGTTCTCACCATAAATATGTGACCTGCATTATTAAAAATGTTCCCTTGTCCTGGGGGGTCATGGGAAGGCTTGGTAACCAAGAATCCCTTTGGAAATTGGGTAGATCCTCAGATCCTAATGAAGGATAGAAACGTGTATATATATATTTAGTTGTAGTCTTCCTCTGTTGTTCAGAATGAAATACACTGGCACATTCATGGCCACCAGCCCAGTTAATTTTTTAATTTATTGTAGAGATGAGGCCTTGCCAAGTTGCCCAGGCTGGTCTCACACCCAAGGGTTCAGGAAATTCTTTTGCCACGACCTCCCAAGGTGCTGGGATTATAGGCATAAGACTCTGCTCCTAGCCAGAACATGTATTGTTAAGGTTCTGTCTAGATGCTCCATCAGCTCCATGTAGAACATGGTTAATAAAATGTACATTTAAACAGGATGACAGTTACTGTCCCAAATAACTCTGGAAAGTCTGAATAAAGAATAATTAGAATAGACTTGCTCTCTAGGATGCCAAAAATAAAAATATAAATGTGCTTTCAGAGATTACATGTCATGGGAGTTACCTGTAGGCTGATTTCTGTGTAACATGAACTTGCTTGTTATTAAATTGAGATTATAAATTACTATATTGGATGGGTGTGGTGACTCAGACTGTAATCCCAGCACTTTGGGAGGCTGAGACAACAGACTTCCCTGAGCCTGTGTTTTGAGAACACTTGGGCATTTGGTGAGACCTTGTCTCTACAGTAAATTACAAAAACTATCCAGGCATGATTGCGTGTGTGTGTAGTTTTAGATAGTTGAAAGGCTGAGGCAGAAGAATTGCCTAAGTCCAGCAGGTCAAGGCTGCAGTGCCCATGAGCATACCACTGCACTCAGCTTGGGCAAGAAGAGTGAGATGCCAACTCAAAAAGTAATAATAAATTACTATAACTTTTGACTAAAAGATCTCAGTATGAATGTTGTGTTCCACATGTGTGCCTTGGCATCTGGTACCAATATGTCCCAAATACTTGGGATGCTATGGAGGATGGATTCTTTTAGCCAAGGAGATTGAGACTGTAATAAGATGTGATTATTCCAGGGCACCCTAGCCTGGTTCAGAATGAGACACACCTAGCCGGGCATAGTAGAGCATGCCCGTAGTTCCAGCTACTTGGAAGGCTGAGGTGGAAGGATCACCGGAGCCCAGCGGGTCGAGGCTGCGGTGTCTGGGAGTGGCCACTGCACTCCAGTCTGGGTGACAGAATGAGACTCCAACTCAAAAAGAAAAAAAAGAATGAGACACATGAACTGAACAAAAAAGCGCGAACCTCAGGCTAAATCCATGTTTTCTGAATCAGAATTTGCATTTTAACAAGAAATTCAATTCTTTGTTGTACAAATTAAAACTTGATGAGCATCTCCTGACTTACTAGGAGCAGTATATGTAAAGTATTCTGTGTGATTTAAACAGTAATTTAAAATGTATGTGCCTGTTTTGGTGTCCATTTTATGCTGTTTCACTCACAAAAATAGAGAGTCTACACTGGCTGAGTGGATTTTATTTCATCCTTTTTTTCCACACTTAATGCATTAGAGGATATTTCTGTGTTTTGAATTTTTTTATGGCATGATAACAGTTGTTTTGCCAGCTGAACCCTGTTCTTTTCACTCTTGCTTTACCTACAGGCCATGGTGACTTGGTAAATGTGTGTTTTGTTGCTTTCAGAGGTTGTTGTCATTCAAGGATGTGGCCATAGAATTTTCTCCAGAGGAGTGGGAATGCCTAGACTCCCCTCAGCGATTATTGTACAGGACTGTGATGTTAGAGAACCATAGAAACCTGGTTTTTCTAGGTGAGGAAACTTTCAAAACATAATCCCTATTTTATACTAAGGATTTTATGTCCTTCCTTTGTAGAATGTTTTCTGGGAATTTCTGCTTTGCATGAATGAGTTTCAGATTCCTACTATCAATGAAAAGCTGCTAATATGTTAAAATTGAAAATAAAAAAATAATGATGTTTCATTTTGACATGAAGGCTTCTCTATTTTAAATTGACCAGTGTCCTTATAGCTATATTATTGGTAAGTTCAGACACGTAGTGACATAGATATCATTGCCCACATCTCATTCCCATTGCTGCCATAAGTTATTGACTGACCAGTACTGAACTAAGAACTGACAAACTTAAGGCCAGGCATGGTGGCTCACCTGTGAAATGCCAGCACATTAGGAGGCTGAGTTGAGAGGACTACCAGAGCCCATGGGTTCAAGAATAGCCTGGGCAACTTGGCAAGACCCCATCTTTACACTAAATCAAAAAATTATCTGGGAGTGGTAATGCACACCTGTAGTTCTGGTTACTTAGTAGGCTGAGAGAGAAGAATTACCTGAGCCCAACAGGTGAGCACTGGGGTAACTGTGAGCTTTCCACTGCACTCCAACCTGAGTGACAGAGTGAGATTCCGACTTAGAATAAAAAGAAACTCATAAATTGAAAATTCTATCTAAATGTTCTAAAGGTTTTATTGGGAAGCTCTATTTTGGGGTTAATTATCTAGAATCTTGTATAATGTGTTCTCTATGGATCATATACTAGGTTTGTAATCTAAGAATCCCAGCAAGAGTCATGTTAGTTTTTTCTAATTAAACAGGACTTGCTGTCTCTAAGCCAGACCTTATTATGTGTCTGGAGCAAAAGAAAGAGCCCTGGGATATGAAGAGACATGGCACATTAGCCAAACTTCCAGGTAAGTGGGAGTGAATGAAGCAGATGATACAGGTTGAGGAATCAGCTTGAAATATGGTTTGAGGAGGTGGTCTGCTCCAATGAAAATGGTTTCTTTTTTTTTTTTTGAGTTGGAGTCTCACTCTGCCACCAAGACTGGAGTGCAGTGGCTGCTCCTGGCCACTGCAGCCTTGACCTGCTGGGCTCCGGAGATCCTTCCACCTCAGCCCTCCAAGTAGCCAGAATTACAGGCATGAGCTACCACGCCCGGCTGATTTTCTGATTTATTGTACAGATGAGGTCTCACTACCCAGGTGGGTCTCGAACCCGTGGGCTCAGGCAATCCACTCACCTCAGTCTCCCAAAGGCACGTGATTACAGGCTGAGCCATCAAGTCTGGCTGGAAATGGTTACTTTGAAACCTGAGATTCTTTCTCTTCCTGTCACAAAGGAACATTTGTTATTCTATCTTCTGAAATTCTCCAAAAACTGTGTCCTCAGTGATCTTTCAAGTATAGAGAGGACATCAAAATCCATTTAATGGTTTGTTAGGAACTGCGTGATCTGACTACCTCTCTGATGCTTTTGAGACATGCATTATTTGCTTATTTATTTGGAAATCTATGTCAAACTATTTTTTTCTTTTTGCATCATGATTGGAAGTACGTGAGCAGTGATTTTTTAATCTGTTTGAGATATTTTAAGAACACTCTGGACACATGTTACATGTTTTCTAATTTATGATTTTCTATACTTGGGAGATTTCCAATGATTATCTCTCTTAATAGAATAAATCCTGATGTTTTACTTAAATTTTACTTTTATAGCATGATCTGAGACTGGTAGTTTTTCTTCATATTCAAATATTTAAGTATACTATATCGTGTAGAGAATCGGGAAATATATATTAAACTCCTACATGTTAGCTTATGTCTTAATAACTCTTATTTTATAATTTTCTTTAGTATGAAGCTTAGGACTAGCTCATATTTGCATATATTCAAACACATATGTATGCATGTTTATGTGTGATTAGCATCTGATTTTTTATACATAAATAAAAATGTATAACCATATGTTGTAAATAATGTAATAATTTGATATGCCTATACAGTGTGAAATTATGATTACAATTATATTAATGAACATATCAACCATCTTACGTGATTGCCGTTCTTATGTTTTGTAAGGAGAACATGTAATGTCTTCTATTTTAGCAAATTTTCTCAGCATACGAAACATCATTATTAACAATAAGTCACTAGGGTACACATTTGTTCCTTAAGACTCAGTTATAACTCAAATTTTGTAACCATTGAAAAACATCTCCATTTTCCCACCTGCAGACCCTGGTGACCATGTTGTACTTTCTTCCTGTATGAGTGCAAAGTTTTTTGATTACACAGGAGTGAGATCATGCAGATTTCTTTTTCCCCCGAGTTAGAGTCTCACTCCAGGCTGGAATGCAGTGGCATGCTAATGAACATGACAGCCTCATTGCTAGCCTCAGGTGATCCTTCTATATCAGCCTTTCAAGTAACTGGAACTATAAGCATGCGCTGACACGCCAAGCTTATTTTTGCATTTGTCATAGATCCGTGGTCTCACCTTGTGCCCAGACTGATCTTGAACCCCTGAGCTCAGGCAATTCTCTCACCTCAGTCTCCCAATGTGGGTTTTCAGACTTGAGTCACTGTACCTGTTCTCATGCAGTATTTCTGTGTGTGTGTTCCTGGCTCACTTCAGTTAGCATAATGTCTTACAATGTCATCCATAAAGTTAAAATTGCAGAATTATTTAAAAATAGTTTTTGGCTGAATCATATGCTATTGTGCATATATATATATATATGTGTTTGTGTGTGTGTGCGTGTGTGCACTCACGTACACGTTATTTTCTTAACACAGATTCCACAAATATTTAGGTTGTTTTCAACTTTGGCCATCTTGACAAATACTGCAATGCCCATAGGAGTTGGAGAGTTCATTTTGGTATTCATTTTATTTCCTTTGGTTATACACCCAGAAAAGGCATTTCTCTGTTACGTGGCAGTTTGCTTTTATTTTTAAAAGAACGTTGATAATAATTTTTATATGACTCTACCAATTTTAAACTCACCAAGAGTATACAGGATTTCTTTTTCTTCACATCCTTATCAAAAATTCTCTCTGTATTCTGGTTTATATTAGCCATCTAACAGCTGTGAGACAATATATCATTATTGTGTTTATTTGAAATTGCCTCTATTGGTAATGTTCGGTGCCAATTCACATACCTGTTGGCAATTTGTATGTCCTCATTGGAGAATAACTATTCTTTTTTGGCTGTTTTTTATTCAAGTGATTATCCATTTTCTTTCTTTAACATCTCATCAAGTATATGGTTTGCAGATTTTTTTCTTCTCCTGTAAGCCTTCTTCCTTTTCCCTTTACTCTGCAGAAGATTTTCAGTTTGATGTCTCCAACTTGTTTTATATTTATTTTTATTCCTGTAGTCATAAAGAAATTATTACTAAGACCAACATCAATATCAAGGATGTTTTCCCAATCCTTTTTATGGTTACATTTTATCAGCGTGTTCTCTGTCACCAGGCAGGAGTGTGCTGGTTCAAGTAAGGGTTTCTATACTTCATATGAAAATTTCTCAAACTTTTTGTATTTACAGCTTCACAAATTATTTTTGTACCCTTAATGGAGTCATTTATCATGATTCTTTCTATTCTTTGGCATACTTTGTTTGAATTGGGGTATTTGAAATTCAAAGATATACATGTCATAATGTTTATGATATTGCTTTGTCTAGATTAATATAACACCCATCACTAAGTTAGAGATTCTAGTAGACTCATATCTGTTCTTAGGATGTGTCTTCTCTGTACATTGGGACAGAAACCAGTCTTTGCATAAACCCTCAAAGGACAGAAACGTAGACTTATACTCCACTCTTCTGTTTATTCCCTGAGGGAGAATGCAAGAGTTAGAACATTCCATCTGATTGCATCATGCTGCATTGTAAAGGAAGAGAAATTATGGTGGCAAAATCACTAAATTTCTCTTCCATGTAACTCATTTTCTCATGTGAATTCTGCAAAGTATTAGCTGATTTTTGAGCTCTCACACAGGCAGTGGGGTATTTTCTTAAGTACATATATTTATGATACAGTGGAAACCTGTGATTTGTACTTGCCACCATACTTATATCCTTACCATGGTATAATATTATGTTTCAGTTTCAGAGGATATTTATCTGAGTCTAGTATGTGGAATAAATATTTATTTTCATGATTTTCAGCTGTGACGCCTCATTACACTGAAGGTCTTCTGCCAGAGAAGAGCATAGAAGACTCACTTGTAAAGGTGCCGATGGGAAAATATGGTAAATATGTCCTTAAAAACTTATGCTTACAAAAATCTTGGGTAAGTGTGCATGAGGGTGAAGGGCAGATAGACTGCTCAGTTGCAAATAACCATTACAAACAAGAGTAGGAAAGTCTTTCAACAACACTCCAAATTTGTTATCCACCAGAGTATCCATATTTCTGAAATGACTTTCAAACACGAATATAGCAAAACCTTTAACCAGTCCTCAAAATGTAGTCAACGTCAAAAAAATAGTGGAGGAAATATACACAATGTATGTGGGAAAGTGCTTAAGAAATGATCCTATCTAAATAGACATGAAAGAATTCATAGGGGAGAGAGAGCCTTCAAAAGTGAAAAATGTGGCAAAGCCCTTAGGTATTACTCATGTCATTCACAACATCAGAAAATTCATTGTGGAGAGAAACTCTATAAATATGAAGAATGAACCGGGCCCGGTGGCTCAGCCTGTAATCTCAGCACTTTGGGAGGCTGAAGTGAGTGGATTGCCTGACCCATGGGTTTGAGACCTACCTGGGCAACTTGGTGAGACCTCCTCTCTACAATAAATCAAAAATTGAACAGGCATGGTAGCATGTGCCTATAGATACAGCTACTTGGAAGGCTGAGGTGGAAGGATTGCCAGAGCCCAGCAGGTCGAGGCTGCGGTGAACAGGCATGGTGACTGCACTCCAGTCTGGGTGATGCAGTGAGTCTCCAATTCAAAAAAAAAAAACATTAAAAAAATGTAAAGAATGTGGCAAAGCCTTTGACTGTTTTTCATATCTTTCTCAACATACAGTGATCCATACTGGAGAGAAACCCTACAAATGTGAAGAATGTGGCAAAGCCTTTCACTTTCATTCACTCCTTACTCGACATATGGTGATTCATACTGGAGAGAAACCCTACAAATGTGCAGAATGTGGCAAAGCCTTTCACTATCGTTCATATCTTACTCAACATACAGTGATCCATACTGGAGTGAAACGCTACACATGTGAAGAATGTGGCAAAGCCTTTCACTTTCGTTCACTCCTTACTCGACATATGATGATCCATACTGGAGTGAAACGCTACAAATGTGAGGAATGTGGCAAAGCCTTTCGCTATCAAGGAGAATTTGTTGGACATAAGACCATTCATACTGGAAAGAAACCTTACAAATGTCAAGAATGTGGCAAAGCTTTTCACTTTTGTTCACTGCTTACTCGACATAAGATGATCCATACTGGAGTGAAACACTACAAATGTGAGGAATGTGGCAAAGCCTTTCACTGTCGTTCACTCCTTACTCAACATATGATGATCCATACTGGAGTGAAACGCTACAAATGTGAAGAATGTGTCAAAGCCTTTTGCTCTCAAAGAGAATTTGCTAAACATAAGACGATTCATACTGGAAAGAAACTCAACAAATGTGAAGAATGTGGCAAGGCCTTTCACATTCCTTCACTCCTTACACGACATATGATGATCCATATTGGAGAGAAACCCTACAAGTGTGAAGAATGTGGCAAAGCCTTTTACTCTCGTTCAAATCTTACTCAACATAAAGTGATCCATACTGGAAAGAAACCCTACAAATGTGAAGAATGTGGAAAAGCCTTTCATTCTCATTCATATCTTACTCGACATACAATGATCCATACTGGAGAGAAACCCTATAAATGTGAAGAATGTGGCAAAGCCTTTCACGCTCGTTCACATCTTACTCAACATGCAGTGATCCATACTGGAGTGAAACGCTACAAATGTGAAGAATGTGGCAAAGCCTTTCACTCTCGTTCATATCTTACTCAACATAGAGTGATCCATACTGGAGTAAAACGCTACAAATGTGAAGAATGTGGCAAAGCCTTTCACTCTCATTCAAATCTTACTCGACATACAGTGATTCATACTGGAAAGAAACCCTACACATGTGAAGAATGTGGCAAAGCCTTTCACATTCGTTCACTCCTTACTCAACATATGATGATTCATTCTGGAGAGAAACCCTACAAATGTGAAGAATGTGGCAAAGCCTTTCATGCTCGTTCTAATCTTACTCATCATACAGTGATCCATACTGGAGTGAAACGCCACAAATGTGAAGAATGTGGGAAAACCTTTCACTTTTGTTCAAACCTTACTCGACACAAGATGATCCATACTGGAGAGAAACCCTACAAATGTGAAGAATGTGGCAAAACCTATCGCTATCGTTCACTCCTTACTCGACATATGATGATTCATGCTGGAGTGAAACGCTACATATGTGAAGAATGTGGCAAAGCCTTTCACTCTCGTTCATATCTTACTCAGCATACAGTGATCCATACTGGAGTGAAACGCTACAAATGTGAAGAATGTGGCAAAGCCTTTCACTCTCGTTCAAATCTTACTCAACACACAGTGACCCATACTGGAAAGAAACGCTACAAATGTGAAGAATGTGGTAAAGCCTTTCAGTTTCATTCACGCCTTAGTCGACATATGAAGATCCATACTGAAAAGAAACCCTACAAATGTGAAGAATGTGGCAAAGGCTTTCACTCTCAAGGAGAATTTGCTGAACATAAGACAATTCATACTAGAGAGAAACACTATAAATGTGAAGAATGTGGCAAAGCTTTTCAGTTTCATTCACGCCTTAGTCGACATATGAAGATCCATACTGGAGAAAAACCATACAAATGTGAAGAATGTGGCAAAGCCTTTCACACTCATTCACACCTTACTCGACATAAGGTGATCCATACTGGAGAGAAACCCTACAAATGTGCAGAATGTGGCAAAATCTTTCACGCTCATAGACACCTTACTCAGCATAAGGTGACCCATACTATAGAGAAACCCTACAAATGTGAGTAATGTGGCAAAGCTTTTCACTTTCACTCTGGATTTTCTCAATATAAGACCATGCATACTGGGGAGAAATTCTACAAATGGGAAGAATGTGGCCAAGCCTTTTGCTCCCATTCAAAGTTTGCTGGACATATCAAGGTGCATACTGGGGAGAAACCATAAGTGTGAACAATGTGAAAATGCTTTTGCTCTCACAGTGGATTTGCTGGACATAAGATGATCCATACTGGAGAGAAACCCTACAAATATGAAATATATTGAAAAGCTTTCCATTCTCATTCACTACATACTCAAGATGGCAAGATCCATACTGTTGAGAAACCCTACAGATGTGACAGTGTGGCACAGCTTTTTGTACTCATGGAGGATTTGCTGGCCACAAGACCATTGATACTGGAGAGAAACTGTACAAATATGAAGAGTGTGGCAAAGCCTTTCACTCTATTAAGGATGTGCTAGACATAAGACCATCCATACTGGGGAGAAATCCTACAAGTGTAAAGAATATGGCAAAACCTTTCACTCACAATGGATTTGCAGGACACATGATCATCCATGCTGGAGAAAACCCCTACAAATATGAAATATGCAGAAAACCTTTTCACTGTCATTCACTACTTGGTTGACATGTCGAGATCCATACTATTGAGAAACCTTGCAAATGTGAAAAGTGTGGCAAAGCTTTTCACACTCATAAAGGATTTGCTGGACACAAACCATCCATAGTGGAGAGAAATCCTACAAACATGACAAATATAGCAAAGCCTTTTGCTCTCAAATGATTTGTTATATATATGAGGCACCATAGTGGAGAAAATCTCTACAAATGTGAGGAATCTGGCAAAGTGTTTTGCGCTCATAAAGTATTTATTGAACATAAGTCCATTGATACTGGAGAAAAACCCAACAAATATGAAGAATGTGACATAGCCATTCACTCACAATGGATTTGCTGGACACATAATCATCCATACTGGAGAGAAACTCTACAAATGTGAAAAACATGGTAAGCCCTTTGCTCACATATACAAGTAGCTGGACATATGAGAATCCATACTGAGATGAAACCATATAAATGAGAGGAATGAGATAAAGCCTTTAGCTCTCTTTCAATATTTGGTTGACATATGAGCATCTATATTTCGGGATTCCCTATAGATGGGCAGAATGGGGTAAACCTTTTCATTGTTATTACGAGTCTTCTAAACATCGGACAATTTATACTCTAAATTTTCAGTATCTCTAATGACTGGAAAATCATCTATCTAGTTATAAACAATAGAGACATGGTGAGAAATTTACAGATGTAAAGAGTACCGTTATCTTTATTCAAACCACATATCTTTTGAATGTACAAAATGTAAAACATGTCTAAAGTCATTAACTAGCAAAAACTTTATTTGACATTAAACTGCATTGTAGAGAATCTACAAATTTAAAGAATGTGGATTGGCCTTTGTTCAAAATATATGCCATTGGACATACTATGGTATTTAGACTGAAAACTTTACAGATGCAATTTATATGGAAGCTTATTTACCAAAAGGTCAAGTTGAAATAAATATCAAATATTGAGTGGCATTAGAAGATGGGTTTTTTGTTTGTTTTTTAGGAAAGCATAAGTATATTCTCTGTATAATTTTGGTTTGCATTGGCAGAATTTGAAGATATTTTGAAAGGCAAACAATATTGATGTAACTCAACTCACCTGATGCTATGCCTTCATTCATAGTGTTTATGTAAAGGCATGGGGTCAGTTGTTGGTACGTTAGAGCTATGAAATGTCCTTGTATAGTAGATCACCAGCACTCATCTCATGTTTTTCATGGAGGATGAAGAACACTGATATGTAATCTCCTTTAAAAGATTGAAGTGGCTGGGCTCGGTTACTCAGCCTGTAATCCCACACCTTTGGAGACTGAGGTGAGTGGATTTCCTGAGTCCGCGGGTTCAAGACCCGCCTGGGAAACTTGGTGAGACCTCATCTCTACAATAAATCAAAAAAAGCCGGGCATGGTAGTGAGCCCCTGTAGTTCCAGCTACTTGGAAGACTGAGGTGGAAGGATTGCCGGAACCTAGCAGGTTGAGGCTGTGGTGGCCGGGAGTGGTCATCGCACTCCAGTCTTGGTGACAGAGTGAGACTCCAACTCAAAAAAATATATATATTGAAGTGAATAGATTTTTTGTGGCTCACATTAAGCAATATTATACGTTCAGATTGAGGGGGGTGTTCAGGATAACATTTTCCTTTGGAAATGACAAAAAATCATTGAGAGTTTCAGAAGTCATTTGTCTTAATATTTACGTGCTAATGAGAAAAAGAGGTCAGAACATTAATATCTTCATGCATCTTCATAGAATCAATACTTACAAGCCATAAGTGTAATTTGATATAATATAAAGAATTATTTTCATAGACATCAGAACAAAGATAATTACTCTCTTAAAAGGTATATTTTGTTAGTTTATGTTTAGTAAATAATCAGATTCAGTTTTTATAACTGAAGAAGGCTGTTCGCACATATATCCCACTATCAGAAGAACAGAAATGCTTGAATGTTTGTAAGCTGATTATGTAAATTTGTTTTAATGAACAGAAGTGTTAATAAAGTATTAACATTTGTTGTCCACACAATAAATTATTATGTTGCCATAAGTGTTCATCTGTTCTATCTTACCCAAGATTGTAGGTATATAATGACCATATACTATTAAGTAACTTACGGAAGGATGTTTCTAATGATCCTTTTTTTATAGGTCATATTTTCTTTCTTTTTTTTTTTTAGTTATGTGTCAATTTGATTATTGCAATAAAGATTATATAGGAGTATAATTATAAGACCTAACTTTCTGAATCCTGACTATTGTAAATACTTATATATTAGGTTAGATTTTGACTCTGATGCCCAGGCTGGAATACACTGAAAAATCCATGGTCACTGCAGCCTCAACGTGATGGTATCAGGGCATGTTTCTTCTTTAGACTCC